GCGGGGGCGGGGCCGGCCGGTCCCGCCATCGCTTCCCTCGGGACACGTACCCCGCCGGGCTCGCTGCTGCCGCTGCCCTCCCAGCCTGCCAGAGACCCATCCTTTCAGGGACCTTCTTTGCTTTCTCCTCTAATGGGAAGCGCAGCAGCTGTTACTGCTAATACCCACCACCTACAGCAGCTCTCCGCCGGTGCCCAAATCCTGCCTTAATCATATTAGTATTCCTCTCTGCATCCCACCCCCTTTTTTTTTTTTTTTTTTTTTTCAAATCTCCAAGCTTCTGCAGTGAAAACAAAGGCAACTGCCGGGGGGGAAGGAGGGTAGCAGCAAGCCATGGAATTTCTGTGGGACACCCTGGCACTCCTTTGCAGAGGTGCAGGAGGATCGAACTCTTGGTTGCCCCATTACACTCCCTACCCTGCCCTTCCATGCTGAAGATTTGCAAAGCAAAGCCATGTCAGCTCCCTCTAGTTCATGACCCCCAAGCAGCATGCCCTTGCCTCCGCTTACATGGGAGTTATTTTGGCAGTAAAAGCAGAATTTTGCTAGAAAGGCCGGGAAGGTGCATCCCACATGCTAGCCCTGCCAGGAGGAGCCATCAACATCCCGCAAACCTGCCAGAGCCAGCACAGGGGACTGAACGTCTGATAAGTGTGACTGTCCCCTGGCACACGAGCTGCAGTCAAGTCCAGGCTGTCAGCCCTGCTCCTTGCCTGAGCTATATGCAACCATGCCGGTGCCCAGCGTGGGGCCAATCCTGCCCCTGGGCTTACCAGCTCCTACTTGGATCCACCTCATCACTGCAGGCTGCTCTGGTGATTGGGACTTTCGGCCGACCCTGGCCGCTGCCACCAGGCTTGCCCCACTCCCTGACAGCGGCTCCTTGCTCGCAATGGATGGAAATTAGCGTCCAATTTCTCGTCATCATTAGAGCCACCATCAGGTGATGCTGAACAAACTGCTGGCAGCTTGTGGCCCCCAGTAGGGCCAGAGGAATGGAGTAACAACCCCAGCAGCTGGGTGGCTTTTCTTCAGCCACCAGATGCTTAAGGGGCAGCGTCAAGGGGAGGGCTGCTGGGAGGGGTCTGGCTCTGCGGTACAAGAAAGCTATTCAAGATGGAGGGGCAAAAGAGTGCTTGGTCCTTCTCGGATAAATGTGTGTCTGCCAGCTGAATGAGCTCATGCTGGTGCTTAGGCCACTCTCCCTGCAGGACACCACAAAGCTCTGCCCTGTCCCACAACTAAAGGAGAGAACACCAACACATAGGTGACACCACCCCGTTTTATTTCTGCAGCTCCAGCAGTGCCTATATTTGATCTTGTTTGGGGTCTGACCAGTGTGGGACTCTGTCTAGAGCAGGAACCATGGTGACCTCCACCCAGGTCGTCCCCCGAAAAATGGAGGCAGGCTTGCAGATGCCCCACTTACTAGCACTGTTCCCACGAGGCTGCCCTGCTTTACCACCCGTCCTTCAGAAGTGAAACAAGATGCTGGGCTGGCACTGAGGTGCTGCCACTGACAGCCTAGCTCCCACCTGTTTGACCAGTTTGAAAGTATGGGAACTGGTGATACCGGGCTCTCAGCAGCCTGCTCTCCTCTGCATTTGAAAGAGGCCTTACAGTCACTGAATTTCAGGATGTAATGCAAATCTGTTTTTTTTTCCTTTTGTCAGCGGAAACAGAAAGTGGTTCAGGGGAAGGGAGGAAGAGTTTGCATTATTGCTTCTGTTCCAGTTTGTAATTGCCCATGCTTTATATACAAAGGAGAGTACCTTTATGCTATATTAATGACTAATCCTTTCCTGAAACCAGCTGGTCTCTTACGGCTTTTCCTGACTAACCGATTCCTAAGCTAAACCATGCCTTGCTTCTAATTCCAGTGTAACAAAGCAGCAGCTCCAGACCTCTGACAGTCTGCAGGGGAAACACCAAACACATCGCAGCCGTTGTGGCACAGTGGCCAGGTTTGAAAACAGAATTCCAGGTAAGCGTATGTCTTTGCATCATGGCATGGTGTTACAGAATTGCATGGTCTTCTTCAGCTGCTGCAGCACATTGGGCACCTGTTTTCATTGTGCCAGCTCCAGAGAGGACCATTTCTCTGCTGGCTTCCACCTGAAAAAGGGAGAAAAGCAGCAGAGTGCAGACCCTGAAACAGCAGTTTCGGGTGCTCCCTGGGAGCTCTGTGCAAAATTATGGGGTGAAGGGAGAAGAGCTTCAAACAAATGAGACCCAGACCCAACCCACCTGTAGCAGCACAGGATGCAGCGCAGCGCTGAGCTGGCTCTGCTCACACCCACAGCTGGCAGCAGCCTCTGGGCAGGGCCGGGCGTGCTGCTGGGGGGTACGGTACCCAGGTTTGGCAGCACCAGTCAGCAGAGCTGCACGGTGCTGCCTGGATGCAGCGTTAATTGCTGGGCTGATCTGAAACACAGCCGTACGCAGAGTTCATCCTTGCTGCCTGCTCTTAAGCAGAGGAACTCAGTGGCTTCAAAGCTGCTCTCAAACCAAATGTCACAACCATCTCCTCCTGAGAGATGGAAGAAGCCTGTTACAGTCATTACTGTGATACGAGCACCTACCAGCAGCCTCAAACTGCACGTTCAAATGCCAAGTGACAGGCAGATGTTTCCAATAAGAAATACAACCTTCCCCATAGCCTCTGGTTGCATCACCCACCAGGACAGCATTGCCTCAGCCTTCTCTGGCTGGAGCATTGACCTGCTGGAGTCATTTGAGCTCAGCCAGGCTCTGTGTATCATTCTGACGATGGGGCCCAGACAGACATGAGAGGACCACATGGCCCTGCTGTCACTAGAGAG